GTGAGACCGTGAGACCAACGGTAGTGATGACGACACTTTCAACACTTTACGAGTGCGTTATGTGAGTATGTAGGTAGATGCTACAGCGGTATACCAGATACCACTGTCTATATGTATATGTACATAAGTATGTAATTTTATGTGTATATATGTAAGTAATGGCAAAAGTTCGTGTTAAATGCCACAATTGAGTGCACTGAAGTGTTGCAAGAAATTGCCTCAGCTGTTGCTGCAACTTCCGTTCATATAGAGCTATCCGCATGGGAGCAGATGTGGCACCCATGTGGTCTGCATATGTATGTACTCGTATGTACGCACATACACTTACAATGTATATATGCAAATACTATTAGTATGTCTTTTTTATGAACGCATGAACGTAAAATTTAAGCATCAGTGCACGTGTTCCAGGAATAAAAAAGACGACAAAAAAGCTTCCAAAAGTGCCCAGTAGAGATTCATTCAAACGTCATAGCCGAGTAGGTAAAATGCGTGATTTTATCAATTATGTCGACGTTTCATGAAAAACAATTAAAAGATAAAGATAAAGATAAAGATAAAGATAAAGATAAAGATAAAGATAAAGATAAAGATAAAGATAAAGATAAAGATAAAGATAAAGATAAAGATAAAGAATAACGAATACATTGAAATTTATTTGTGTGGACGTATAGAAAACAATTAATACGAATTCACATCGTCATTCCAAGCCTGCAACTTCGTGTATGCTTTATATAAGTGTGTACATGCATAGTGGACCTTCACAAATGCAGCCAACCACATTTTGGCTTTGTCACTGCCAACTAGCGTCATACTGTCTCATTCTGAGTATGCCATTGATAAAACGCAAAATAAGCACGATACATACATACATGTTTATTTACTGTTTTTTTGTTTTTGTGTTTTGCTTGTTTTAGTTACTGTTAGCTGTTGTAATCGTCGCTCTACACTATTGTTATACTATCGTAATTGTTGTTGTTGTTGTTGTTGTTGTTGTGCACGCAAGCATGCATGAATGATTTAGTTGCGTACAACAGCTGTAGCGATGGACAAATGTGTAGTAAAAAAATATTCGCATAATATCTATGGTTTTGAGCAGAAACTGCACGTACTGTGTGTGACATTCAAGTGAGGATATAAACTGTTATGCACACAAATTGATAGATTACGAGTACATCGCACAAACAGTATGCATACACACGTATGTATGTATTGTAGATGCAAACATATGTATTTTACATGATGCTCATATTAGTTTATAATGGCGCTCACGAGGAACTTAGCTAGAGTGGTAGTCATGATTTTTCTTTTCAAATATAAAACAGTTCTTTGGAAGTTTAAAAAAAGTAAATTACCCACCTTTTCCATCCAGAAACGAGCAGAACTGACGACGCGTCTGTTGATGTTCCTGCTAGATAGAGGGTCAAAAATTTTATCCTTGTACGGCATGCTTGTCATTAATGGCGACTTAAATCCAAAAGTTCCCGCGACAGCTGGGTCTTTATACTGGAACAACCAACATTACACAAAAACTGCTTTGGGGAATATTTTTTGCGATTACTACAACAACAACACAAGGCAAAAGAGATGCTAAGGTCAATAACGTTAGTACACGCCAGCAGTTGGAGACTCTTATAGAAAATTGATCCTTCTCTGTGGTTCTCGAGTGGTTGCCAGAGATCCTTCACAGTTCTGGTAGTCTTTTGGCTGCCTATTTTTTGATCAAATATTAGTACACTCAAGGTAGTTCTTTTGTAACTTGCATTCTTTTTAATGTTTTTAGAAAATATTGCATTTGGAAAAAAAGAATTCAATCAGTTGGGTTGACATTCGAGGAATGACCGCAGGTAGAAAAATTATTTTCTATAATTGTGGATGTTGGTGGTATCAGAACTCGAACTCTGGTTTTCAGAATGACACTACGAAATGCTAACCGTTTAGCAATTGCAGCCGCTAATATATAGTACTTTCGAAAAAGGTCGATTTTTTCAAACCGTGTTAATAGACTACTATCTTAAATTCTGGGTTTGAGTTGTTTACCTGCCCGGTTAGCAGTTGATGCACTTCATTGATTAAATCAGCCAAGAAGTAATTGCTTAAACTAACTAAAGAAAGCGCAACTTCCTTCCAATAAGTGTATTAAGCGAACGTTGCGGCAAATGGCAATAGTATTTCGTTAAGTTAAATAAACATTTAAAAGGTTTGGCCACTAATGCAATTACGAAAATGTTTTTCCTATACACACATGCTTGTGCTGAGGTCCGCAAAACAAGTTTAATTAATTTTATCAACTTCCAGAGTAGTAAAAGGTTTTTTTTCTTGTATTAATTCTTATTTTTCGTGACGCTATTAACTGTATTTTCATTTCTTTTCACAACAACAGACAAACTCTTTGTATAACTCTTTATTTTATTTATAAATGCATACATACATGCCGAAGCTGTGAATACTTCAAATCCCTGCAGGGAAAACTACCAATTGTTGCATACAATAACTACTTTAACTTCCATATATTTTGCGGTATTTTATGCATTAGCTTCATACTAGTTAAATACAACTTCACGACAGTGATACCGAATAGCAGACTTACAGCATAGTTTAACAGAGCCTAACAGAAAATATAACATGTCCATGGGATGCTAACTATTAACATAACATAACACAATGGCAGTGAGGTGGTGATGGAGGCTTTTAATAAACCCGTTGCTGTTGGACTGTTTTAGACATTTGCCAAAAATTAGCGAACTGCTGTTATTCCACCTTTCTTTTTGCACACTGGTTTGACTTTTCACTGCAGGGATACGGCTATATGTCTGTATATGTCTAACGAAAGAGCGTTAATGTTCCAGTGAATCACTGCTAATGTTAGATTAGTACAAATTAAATTACTCTAAGCTCTTTCATACACTTAACTACGGTTTTATGAAGTATCAGCAAAGCAAAAAAGAGAAATAGAAAAATAAATAAACACGACGACTACTAACTTTATTGAAAAAAAGAAATACCGGCGCATGTATTAGTAGAACTTGATTCTTTTTTCTATGTATTTTCTTTATTACTTTACTAACAAAAGTCTACTTAAAAGGATTAAGGACCTTACAAAAGGATTACAAGCAACTTTCCAACGCCAATCTTACAAAGATTCCACACACACATACACGCAAGCACACACACACACTCACACTTGTAAAAACACGCATACGACTTTTGTATTGCAAAAGTTTTCTCTTTAATTCAGGCGAATAAAAACAGGAAAAAATGGAAAGGATATCGCAAAAGAAAAATACAAACAGCGCACGATTGGTCAGTGTCACTGCCAAAGTGTGGGAAGGCGTCTACAGTGTGCTTAGTCGGTATTTCTTTTCCTAATTGTAATTAAATCAGCAACTCGTTCACTCGAAATGTGTCTCTTTCATTTCTGCGGAATAATCATTTATGACAATTTTTCTTCGCTCGATTTATGATTCTCTTCTAGATTATATCGTGGGAAGTTTATATAATATCATGCTCTGACTAATGATTCCCTCTCATATTGGTATTTTGCATGGAATTTTTCTTCGAACAGAATTTTGATTAACTTTCAGTAAAAGTATTTAAGGCGGCGAACAAGTCCATAGGGCTGAATAAATAAAGCGTTTATTTATCGTTAGAGTCTCTAAATAATTTTCTTTCTCCTTAGAAGATTATAGCATGAAGGCTAATCCTTCCGCCTGTTCTCCCAAATGCCATAAAGGTCGTCCACATAAAAATTTTCCAATTCGTGCGTGAATAAGTCATTTATCATGGCTCTATAGCGTTCCCCATTGAGTGTAATATTATGGCGAAATCTTCCATAAAGTTTTTGGGCCCAACTCGAATTGTTGCCCGCGATGTTGGTTTGACTCTTTCGGATCTTCTTCGATAGCGTAGCAATAGCGTCTTCGGGGCACACTGTACTGCGTCTCTGATGATGAGTTTTTTATTTCATTATAGCAAACGTGTCCCGCGGTAGTCGAATGGTTAGCATTTCGTACTGCCATTCAAAAGACTAGGGTTCACATCCTGGGACCACCAACATTCAAAAGATATTGAAAATTAATTTAAATAAAAAATTAAATTAAATTCTCTAATTGTGGTCACCCCTCGGCAGGTATTGTCCACCTCTCCGGGTGTATATCTGACTATACGTGCATCCATTTGTTGGAAAAATATCAAGGCGCAAAAACCATCAATTGGAGGAGGAGCTGTACCGAAAATCGCTTCAGCGACGCCCGACTCTGCTGGGCAATTATATCTACCGAATATTGGACGCTGCTCAAACCATTATTTTGTTAATAATTTTGGAAGTTTTGTCGTCATGTGCGAGTATGTGGACTTTCAAACAAGTTAAACGATAAATAAAAATAAATGAAATAATAAATACACTTTAAAAGTCTGTAAGAAAAATCATCGAAAGAAACAGAAAAGTCAAAGGTCAGTTTCAGTCCAGCACCTACATTCAATGGTAGTATGAGTCAGAGTAGTCTAGTAGTCTAGTATTTATTATTTAGTCATAGGAACAATAGGCCTTAGGGTGAACCAACTAGTATTTGAACCCCACTTATTTGATCTCTCATTATTATATTCTCATCAATTTATCACACAATTAAATATTAAATTTGCTTACAGGCGAATCGGGTGTGAGCAACTGTTGCATTTGCAACAGCTTCGAAGAAATTATGGATCTTTATGGGAAGCTCTTAGTATCACAAGAGTGTTAAATAAGCTTCGCGATATTGACCCTTTATATCGCAGGTAGCCTAGCAAATTAATTTTATTTATTTATCTTTTTACGTTTTTTTCGTACCGTTAAGCAGATAAACACATAAATAAATGAGAAAAAAGATCTGTCAGTGTTGATTTCAAAAATCACCTAAATATAGTATATAAAGAAGTAAATATGTATATATATTACTTATGTACGTGTAAAATATTATCTGCCAAACCTCATTCAATCAAATTTCCATTTATTCCATTTACAGCAACACCATTTAATTATATTGAAAATTACAAACAACAACCGTCCCCATCGCACACAAGCATTGCTAATGACATTCAACTAATACCGACACTTGTGACGTCGTCGCCAAAACAAACGCAGCAGCAGCAACAACAGCAGAAACAACAGCAAAACCAACAAACACCACAAAACAAAGCACACAAACAACAAATGACAGCGAAACGTAAAAATTCAAATTCAAATGAGATCAACAACACCTCAACGATCGAAGCGCCACCTGCCAACACCATGCCAACGACAGCGACAAATGCGACGACGACGATGACAACAGCGACGAATTCGGCAACGGCAGCAAGAATGAATAGTGGCACGATCGCTGCCAATAATGGCCCCTCAACGCCAGCAGCGGCGGCACCAAGGCGTGAACCACACATCAGCACCAGTAGCAATGGTGATGATGAGACTGATGTGATCGGCGATTTAGTTGGACATTTCGGCAAATGGCAGTGTCTGATGACAATGTTGTTGTCATTGTTTCAGGTGCCCAATACATTTCATATATCGTCGCCGGTTTATCAGGTGAGTGAGTGATGAAACAAAATCTTAACTATGGGTAATGATAATGTTAGAAATGAATTATTTTTTTCATTATTTTAATATTTTATGTAATCTTTTGTAATATTTCATATGAAAATATATGTAGTTTAAATATATGCTGTTTACATGGCATCTCTAAATATATGTGTTATTAGCAGAGACTGTTAATGTTAAATAGGCGGCAAAAATAGAGCGAATGGCGCTCAATAACCCTCGGAGACAGCAATTATTACGAGTTTTTTAATTTTTAGGGAAATTTTTAAACCCCAGAAATATTTATGATAAAAAGTCGACCTTAGAAGCATTCATATTTTTAACCAGAACAATTCAAACCTTAGAGCTTAACACTTTTTATTTCCAATAGAATAATTTGTAAAAGTATATACACATATTAAATTAAAATTAGTACCAAAAAAAAGAGGGCAAAAGAGGTCTAAAGCAAAAATGATTACATGAAAGTTTTAGTAAATTATAGTTATGCCAGACTTGCCAACTATTTAAGAAAGCAATGGTAATACTTCTTCCTCTTTACTGGCGATCACAGCCGAGTTAATAACAGCGCGCCATTCCTGCCTACTCTTCGCTGTTTGGCGCCAATTGGAAATATCAATAACAACCAATTGGATTTAAGTTGCCTCTTACGACCGGCAAGCGTTAACGCGAGTAAATTCTTAAATCTCTAACCCGCAGTGGTCAGGGAATGGAGGTCTTCCTCAGCTTTAAATCGACAGGTTTTGAATCGAAAACTTTAAAAGGTGAATCATTATTATCCATACGGATCCCACGACCTAGCCATATATCTTCAACAGCTCATCTTACCATCGGTTGCAGTAGTCGCCGCAAACTCTTTCTCTGGAAAACTTCTAAAACCGACTTATCAGGTGATGTTCCTGATGACGTTGATATTGGTTTTGATTCTGGTCCTTAGATAAAGTAAATTATATAGGACTTCAATGATGGGACTGCCAACAGTGACATCGAGAATGCGTTGACTCTTTGTCTGGAGAAAGCAGAGCTCGTTTTATTTTCTCCAGCTATAAATTGAAAAAATCGAGTGATAAGGAACCATGATGCCTGAAACCTCCTTTGGTATCGAACTGCTCGGAGAGGTTCTTTTCGATCCTGATGGAGATTTCAGTGTTGCTTAACTTGTTAGTTAAGTAGCTTCTTTTGCCCTGTCGAAGGCAGAGATTTTTAAATTTACGAGCTTTTTTTCAAAATTTGGGGCAAGGTGAATATCTAATCAATGATGGTCTTACCAGATCAAAAGCCACACTGATAACATACAATGAGTTTACTGACGGTAGGCTTTAGACTTTCAGACTAATCAATATTGAGGAGGCTTATCTAGCGGTAATTGGCGAACGCCGGTGGTACGATTTATAGCTCTGTGTCAGTCTCAAACGGAAGTTTTCCCTTCCGAGCCATATCACGGATGACGCCGAGTTTTTCGCACTCGGCTAGTGATGTGTTTTCGCGTCGACAGTTCTAATTTCAATGCAAGAAACTTATCGAATAAACTATTAATTTCAAGGCAAGCCAAAAAAATGTTGCATGTTTTTATCTTTCCTAAAAAAAAATTAAAATAGAAAATAAAATAATAAAAATAAATTTAAAATATTGAAGTTGGTAAATAAAATGCCCAGCCCATTAATTAATTATTATTTTTTAATTAAATTATTAAGCTTTATGCATTTTTTTCTTCCCCTTCATGCTCCGTCGACGCTTAGGCGATCAGCAAAAATTTTTGGTGCCGTCGACCAACGCACTTGCAAGACTTGCCGGTGGATGTGTGGCGCAATATCAGTGACTCGCAAGATAATTGCTTTCAGGCGAACATTGACTGGAGTCAGTTGCCCAACGACAGCGTACAGCTACAGGTAATTTCATAATCTGATGTACACACACACACAAGCACATGCATGTCAACAAACTGTGTCAAAATGTTAGCACGAAAACAACCAGCAGTGCACAAGGTTGCCGTAAATGCAGAGAAATGACAGAAAATTGCCAAAAATTTTCAACAATTATTCTTTATTTCGGTGCGCTTGTGCATGTGATTGTGCATTTGTGCTGCATTCTCGGTGTGCCTTGCACTCGAGCGTAAACATCTTGCTAATTCGCAATTTAATGTCGGCTCTCTCTCTCTCTCTCTATCTCCTCGACCTCCCTCTTTGCCATACATCTTGTTCTTCTTCTTCGACCATATTTGTTTTCATTCGCCTAACTGTGCAACGGTGCGTGCATTATTACCACATTTATCACTCACCAACACACACTCAACCATATCAGCCAGCATTGCAACAACTGATTCGTCAACAACAGCAATCATATGTCAACTTACCACATGAGCCGTCGGCTGTGTCTGCATTTCAACACTATGTCCTCTCGCCACTGGCTGTCGTGCAAAACGAGTCACGCATAGCCTGCACCGCCTGGGAGTATGATGACAATGACAATTTGGGCAATACATGGACTTCACAGTGGGATTTGGTGTGCGACAAGGAGTACTTCAAGAATGTGGCCGAGATGTTCTTTCTGCTGGGTGTGGCAACAGGTGGCATATTGTCGGGTTATTTGTCGGATAAGTTTGGCCGCAAAAAGATGCTTTTCATATCGGCAGTGTTGCAGACGATATTCGGTAAGTGTGAATGAACAAAAGAATAAACGCTATGTGTGTACTTATAAAAAATCAAAAACGAGTATGTCACGAAGCTGATTTTAAAGAAATGGTACTAAATAGAAAGTTAGGTTAAAGGATGTCAATGAAAAGTTGCTAGATTTGAGTTATTTTTATTTATTTTTATTTTTTTTTTTAAGAAAATGTCTTGCCGATTTTCTATACCTTCTATGAGTATGAAAAGATTTTCTCTTCCCTTCAAAATTTGTTTGAGACACTTGGTAGCTATGCATTTCTTACATTCAACCCCTGTTTGAGTTATCAAAAATTCAAGTACCGGGTTTTCTAATAAAAGCTCTTACTTTGCTCAAAGAAAAATTACATTTTTTGAGATAAATGGAAAACAATATCAACCAAATGGTAGCCATGGCTACCGTCAATGGCTTCACAAATTTCCTCTTTGAGGTCTTGAATCGATCTTTGACATTCTCCCAAAGGAAGAAGTTGCAAGGTTATAAATCCCAAAATTTCGGAGACTAATTCCAATGAACTCTTCGAGAGATAACGCCGTCCGGGAACATCTTCCTTAAGCGATCGGTGGCTTCGTTGCTTGAGTGGCTCTTACCGTTTGATACGAAAACTACGAAATGTTGGTTGTTAACAATACCAATCACTATCCTGGGAAAATGATGAATGACTACATGAAATAATCAATTCACAAAGTCATAGTGACGGCATTCTCATTCCAAAGTTATATCAATCCTTGCAAGGACCATCTAACTATTTTTAGTCTATAATAAGCTTGCTCGTACCCGTAAAAGACAAATAAAGATTTTCTTATAATAATTTTGTATTTTAACTATTATTATTATATAATGAAATTGAATTCCAAGAAAAAATACTTCGGGAATTCTCAATTATGACCTTTATTTCCCATTTATGCATGTACATATATACTCGTATGGACATTGAAGTATTCTTGAGAAGACTGCAACCACTCGAAATCATTGCAAAGATAATTGCAAAAGCCGTTTGTTAGTTTGGTCTAAGCATTTGCCTTAATATGTGTTTCCAATTCAATCAACACAATCGCATATGAAACAAATAAACATTTAAACATTGCCATATGCAGCCACATACATAAGTATTTATGTAAATATGTAAGAATTTGTATGTAAGCATTGACTGCTGCCTTATTGATTGTCAAGTTCAAAGTCAAATTCTGCCATTGTTAACTGCTTATGACAAAAGAAAGTTTTACATATGTATATACAAGTATTCTATACCATTCCGTGCAGTGAAATAAACTAGTTGTATACTAGTTGATTTTTACACTACATAGTTCATCTTTAATAATTTTCCCTTTTTAGAAATTGTATTTTTATTAAGACAACATACATTGTCCAACTATGCATCAGCTCCATATTGGTTACATACTAGTTCATGTACGCATGTCGAATTGAACTTGAATTTCTGCTACACAGAATTAAAAATGAAAACATTTAATCTTAAGCGTAACTGTGACAACCCCTATCGCACTACTACAACAGTGCTTAGATGACTATAAAATACAGCTTTGGTTTGCTAAGTCTCTACACCTTCTAAACCTCTATGATAGCCGGTTAAGGCGGCTAAATAACGGTCCATTGTCTGTTGCAGACTCATGGTTGAAAGATATGCTACTTCTCCAATGACTTCTGTCGCAGCAGCTGGGAAATAGACGAGGGGAAATCGATAGAAAATTACATCTGCGTCTGCCGAACACTCAGTGAGGCTTTACACCATTTCCTCGGTTAATTTTTACTTCATTGTCTAACGGAATCTGTGTCAACAAATGCACTGGAAAATTCAGAAAAGTCTCATTTGACAAACATACCTTAGGCCAGCAGGCCAAATTGTACTTGATCAGTATTCCGTGTTCGAGAAACCGCATGAACCAAGGTCGAATAAAAATATTTAATCAACAGAACTCAAGCAAACTTTGTACGTTTACTACATTTCGTAAGGCTAAGTTCTCCCAAAAAAAAAACTGCCATATCTCCTCCCATATAACAAACTTGCTATTATTACAAGATCGGTGAACTCCATTTAAATATCAGCCTAGTATATAACGTTTGTTCTCGTTTATTCTTTAATATTTAAAAATATATAATTAATTTAAAAAAAAAAACTAATTTTTAATTACTATTTAGTATTACCACTTTTAATGATACTGATTTCATTCTCCCAAAGGTCTAGCGCTCTACTTTCCGAAATCGCTGGAAATGTTCCTGTTGTTGCGTGCGTTACTCGGCCTGGTCTCCGTGTCCGTAACATACGCTGGTCTCATATTGGCCATTGAATATGTGGATGGCAAATGGCGTACCATAGCTGGCATGTACAATTTATTTCCACTGCCAATTTCGTACATGTTGATCGCCGGTATTGCCTATCTGACACAGGACTATCAAAGGCTACAACTCTGCATCGGTATACCAGGAATTTTCCTATGCTTTTTATGGTGAGTGTGGAAAAAAAAGACTTTGACGTTATAAATTAATTAAAAAAATAAATTCTGTTCGTATGTTATGAATTAATGAGGCATAAAATTGTTCATGTTCACTTTGTAGTTTATGACCGTTATTAAAATCGAATTTTATGATGACTAAAGCCAACAATCTATTGAAGAATTAACACGTCTGCCGAAGAAATTTCGTTAATTTGACTTTTATCAGAACTGACGGTTTGTTTTTTTATTTTTGTTATTATTTTTCTTTTATTTATATTTTTTTTTAAAAACACGTGCAAGAAACGAAATAAACTGAAAATTTCTAAAGATCGAAGCATATTCACGAGTATATATATACAAATATGCTTGAATGGATAAAGATCTTCTCACGTACGATTAATATTCACTTCACGCTATTTTGTATTGTTGTTTTTGGATCCATGTGTGGGCGTCTATTAATCTAAATAAGATAATTTGCTAATGTTAACAATATGAATAATTGGCAGCTGTGAAAACGTATCAACATATTGACATGCATTTGTATATTCTTAAATATTAATAAAACTTTTTATGGACACGATAATTAAGATAAAATTTTCTTGATATAAGTAAATATCACTACATATTCATTGCTTTAAAGTAAAATAAAATAATAATAAATAAAATAAAGTTAAATAAAATACAGTGAAATTAAAAAAAATACAAAAAGATATTAATTGAAATAAAATTAGTTTAAATGAAGTAAAAAACAAATTAAAAATAATATATTAAAACGATTTAAATTATAATAAAATAAAATAATAAAAAAATCTTAAAATAAAAAAAACTCAAAATAATACAAATAAATAATATAAAACTACATACAATTATATAAAATAAAACTGAAATGAAATAAAATAAAATTAAATTAAATAATAAAATAAAAAAAAAAAATAAATTAAATAAATAATATAAAATTATTTACAATGATATGAAATAATATAAAATTTAATAGTAAAATTAAATAAAACATAATCAAAAAATCGAATCAAATAAAACAAAAAATACTAATTAAAGCAAAACAAAAAAAACGAAATAAAATAAGATACAATTATTACAAAAGAAAAAAAATATATTATATTTATATATAAAAAAAAAATTAAATTTAATTGAATTACATAAATGAAATAAAATAAAATGACATACGTAAAGCAAAAAAAAAGTAACAAAGTAAAATAAAATATATTAAATTAAAACAAAAATATTTTAAATAAGAAAAAATAAAAGAAGAAAAGCAAAATGTAATAACTAAATTAAAAAAACACTAAACAAAAGCAAGTTAAATAAAATTGAGTAAAATAAAACCCAGCAAAATAAAACACCGTCCGACATTCACCAACCCCAATTGAATTCCTTATTTCATTTATAATTCCTTTTCTCAAATTTTCCAGGTTTGTCGTGCCTGAATCTCCACGTTGGCTGTTGGTTAAAGGTCGCATTGCCGAAGTGAAAGATATTATACAACGTGCAGCCAAATTTAATGGACGCCAACTACCAACTGACTTTGAAGCAATGTTAAATCCACCACCACAAGAAGACTCTTCGCAGGACTGCATTAGTCTCTTCAAATCCGGTTATCTGCGTTGTGTGACTATTTGCTTTCTATGCATTTGGTTTACGATGAATTTGGTATACTATGGTCTGATATTAAATATGAGTTCATTTGGCGGAAATGTTTATTTGAATTCGGTGAGTTGAAAAAAAGTAATTAAATTATTTAATAATGAGTAATATACTAAAGGATTTTTCTAAACGAAATGTCAGCTATACCTATCTATGTATGTGTCCCTAGGAATACATTGCAAGGCAGCATCGTAACCATAAATTTAGCGTTAAGCAAAAAAAAATCTACGAGTCAGTTAAAACGGTTATTAAAATTTATTTCCCGTTGTTTTTACCCGAAACAAAAAGCTGTCGTTAATGTTAAATCGCTAACAGATACCGTTAAAGGATAAAATTGCATAGTACTGTTAACATCGTAGCAGGCAGCCAATTTGATGAGTTTGTGCGATTTTCTTTCGTTTTAATAATAAGGCGACGAAACGAAACGATTTCATTTCGTTGAGCTCTTTTTTTTTTCTTTTTTTTTTGTTAGCAACGATACGATATCGTCGCGTTTGTAGAGCAAATAAACTTTCCAAAAAAAAATATATAATTGACGATTTGTGGTTTTACGTCTTGATGTTTTTCCCAAAAATGGAGGGTCCTACAGTTTCTACCTACTAAGCCTCCTGATTTTTCCGAACGCCTGATGATTTTTCTATCAGAAGCTTTATTTCATGAGAGAAATACACTAGGAGGGGTTGACATTCCCTGCCGAGGGGCGACCGCAATTAGAAAATTTAATTTAAAAATATTTAAATAAATTTTGCTCCCCTCCATTATATTGTATCTACGGCATATGTATGTAAAAATTGTATTTCCTTAAAAAATTAAATTTCCACAAATAACTAATTGAATTCTAATAACGATGCACATACCTAAACACTCATTTAAATTATATAAAATACATATAAGCAAATAGTTCTACAAACGAAAGGAAAAGAGTAATTAATTGAAGTAAATTCTAAGAGACTCCAAAAATTGTTGCATCAACTGTCCATCAGTTCGCTTTGCGTACAAATCTTCCTAGGCACAAATTGAATCTACTGTAAACTAGCTCAACTCTGATGAACGAGACTAACGTAATAATAATTAAAAGTTCCATACGATGCAGTAAGAAGTGCTAAAAAACTATTCAAGCCCATAAGTTTGCATCTGAAATGGGGAGCATAGCCACTTGGACATTGTGTTTATGTGCTTTTTGGGCATTGCGCCAATTTTTCCCTTAGCAAAACTCTAAAAACATGCATATCTATGTAAGAATATTTCTTCAGACAACAGTAAAAGAAATGCTAAATTGAGACATTGAACGGTAAAATGATGTTTTTTTTTGTTTTTGAATAGAAGAAAACATCAATGACATACGTTAGCAAAAAAAATATATATATTTTTATGTTTAAACATGTGACACTGTGAATTCAAATTATGTATTATGTTCATATCGCCTCATTGATAATACCCACTCATCATAATCGAAATTAACTAAATTAACAAAATGAATCAAATTGATTTAAAACTCAATCAAGCATAATTACCAGCACTAACTGTAAATTTCTTTACATTTCTCCCGCTCTTTTTCACCAAAACGAAAAAAATGGTGCACACAAAAAAAAAATAACAAAAATAATAATAAACAAACTCAATTTACATACAACACAATCTACAACAACAGGCTTTAGCTGGCCTAGTCGAAATCCCTGCCATTGCCATTGCCATGTATATTATCACAAAGGTCGGCAAAAAGTGGCTCTTCTGCGCCACATTCATCTGTACGAGCATCGCTTGCTGCTGTGCGGCCATTACCGAGGGCAATGATGACCAACTCTGGCTGAAGATTACATTCCTCATGATTGGTGAGTGTTATTGTGTGATGTCTGTGGTGTCTGACATGTTTTATGTGTGTGATGTGTAGGTGTAATGTTGAATTTACATACATATGTACATACGTGTAGCTACATATGTCTGGCACATGTGCACAAGTATAATAAGTCAATCGGAATTTAATTGAATTGCATATATTCTATTTATGTATGTACATACATACAAACATATGTGTGTATGACAAATTTATGCTTCATTGACTTACAAGCATTCACTGACATTTACCCTAAACATACATACATACATATAACAATATACCTACATGTGTACATATATTAAATTATCTTTTTATTCACAGGCAAATTTACCATCAGCGCCGGCAATACCATTATGCCCGTCTACACAGCTGAACTCTATCCGACCGCCATTCGAAATGTCGGTGTGGGGGCATGTAATGTAGCCGCTGGTGCAGCACTGATACTTACACCATATTTGTCTTTGTTGGTAAGTGGCTGCAATTAATGCAATGAATGCAGTGAATGAATGAATGACTGAGCGATTGCGGCAGACAAATATCATTCAATTTAAATTATGATTAATTTTGTGAAAATGTTATGTGTGATTAATATTTATATGTATGTGCATACATACACATATATGTACATATATGTGCAGGTTTTATGTACTCGCACAAGTCACGAGCTTTTAACACACTTCACTGACCGAAAATGTTCTTGCATATTTTTATAAACCCATCTGTTAAGCTGAAAAACTCTTGACGCTTCACTTGTATACGAATATGCATGATTTACTGATGTATTTTTATTTATTTCTTTTTTTTTTATTTTATGACTTTTCAATTTCGCAGAATAAAATTGAGATTCATTTTATGATGACACTGCTCACAGCATTTGCATTCTTTGGCGGCTTTGTTGTGCTGTTTCTACCTGAAACCATAGCTGCTCAGACGAAATCCGAACCGAGAGAGGAAAAGTAAGTAAAATAAATAACAGCAACAAGAAATAAACTTTTGACTCTCCGGCAATAATAGATTTTTTTCTTTTTAATATTCACTAGAATACATGATAAATAATATAAGTAGAATTATAGGTTTTATCTGAGATATCGCTTACCCAATATTCTAAGATGCAGTCCACGCTAATTATAGTATAATGTTTAAAGAAGGTATTTTTTGGTTCAATATCCAAATATTTATATTCATTAGGACATTAGAGACATTTTTAAGCAATTTTTTTTTGCTATTTTGTGCAGAATAAAATGACCTATTTATCATACTAGCTAAACCTTGTTTTTTTGTTTGTTGAATAAATCTGTTTTTTTTTCATTTAGAATTATTTATATTCATTATATAGAGACGAATATATCTAAAAAAATCTCCAGCCCTCTTTAAGATATCCTTCCTAAGGAAGCACAGAGACCACAATAAGTGTTATGTAGACAGGCATAAAAATATGGACAACGAGTTCAGGGTTGAAATATAATAGTAATACAAAAATACTATTGTACATAAGAGCTGGTCGAGATATGGCACGGCTGCATCGTAATGATAAATTTCACGTTTATAAAAAAATGCTATCGATTCGATGGAAAATATTATCGTTAAAGCACTTAACAAAAAAGATTTTACTTCGTTTTTAACCGAAACGATAAACGTTAAAATTGAAGTGTCATTTTAAATGGCGAAATGTCGTTTCGTTACTGGAACATCTCTGGCTTCATGAATTCAGTATAAGAATATGTTTCAGTCGGCTAGCCTGTCAGCAGTTCGGCATACGAGTATACCAGATAAATGGAAAATATGTCTCTAAGCGTTGAAGAGTATCATACGACCTTCGAGAGCCTATCATAGATTCCGATCATAATTCTGTCACATTCACAAATCTTAAACGCCAAAAAACCATTTTATATTTGAGTTACGCTCCTACTCTCTAGGTACACTCTCTAACAACTTTTAAAAAACGATTGTGAAACGGTAATAAAACTGCTCTAGATATACATATATACTTATACAAATAATTGGCACTTTGAAACCGTTTTGGCTCTTGATGATTTTCCCACAAAGGGGGGAGGGACCTACAGTTTATATTGAGGCCCTCCGAACGGCTGATGGCATTTTTTATGAGGAGCTTTATTTCATTTTGGTCGTACCAGGATTTGAGCCCTGGTCAGTCGAGTGGCAGTACGTAATTGTAACCACTCGACTACCGCGGCTGCTCTAGATATAGTTGCTAAATACGCTGATTTGCAGTAGACGTTAGAAGAGATGACTCTAGACCCATTATTGGTCAAGTCCAAATATAAGTCATGCTTCTGAAGAACAAATAAGAGCGCTCATACACATACAAAGTAATTAGAATGAATTTATTTCTTATACCCACCGCAAATAACCTATGAAGTGGGGGAATGAGTCTGCTTAAGATCGTTACAAAAGGTTTTATCTTGCGTGTTGTGTTAGGCTTACATATACATTTTTAAAAATATATTTCTAATTGAGCTTTAGTCTGGTTTTAAGCCCAAAAGAAGCTGCATTTATAGAGGTTACCGAATATTATTAGGTATCAAACTGATGAAAATAACACTGCTGGACCATGCTTAGGCCTTTGCTACCGTTGACGATAATTCGTAATATATTGAATTTCTCTCGCGAGTCGAATTAATGAGAGTATACTGTATACTGTACATAATTTAATCTTCTTCTTGTTCTTTGCCATTAATTTAACATTTTTACACTACATTTTCAGATGTTAGAATTGTACTGTTACAAAAATCAATACAACAAACAATTGATGTACTTGTCAGCACACGACGAATTTACTAAACAAAAAAGAGATTTGGACAACTCGTCAACGACGATCTTCAAATGCCGAAGAACAGCTGCAAAGGAAAGCTGCAGTATGTTTTTCAATAATAATTGTATACATAGGTATAAAGTGCATGAATGCATTAATTAGCTTTTAAGAAAGAGAGAAAAATATAAAAAACTTACACATCATTAATTGTATTTTGGCTGGACCAAAATAAGTCAATTTCAAAACTAAAGTGAAATGTTTATAATAAATATACTAAATATATTGAAAGAAACATACATTTAAAGCAAAATTCCCTACATATATATGTGTACATATATTGTATATATGTATGTGGCTAATTTACCGTAATGCAAGCAAACATATATATGTACATAAATATTAAGCAATTTCTAGCATATCAATGTAAGAACAATATAAATACATACATATTGACATACTCGTGCATACCTAAGGAGTAGGCAATAATTAACTTACGTATGTATGTCGGTGCAAATTTTATAATTTTTGAATTCTTGAATACTAAAAACATGCAATTACTGTTAGAAGCTTAAGAAGTGTTAAAATGAAAGTTACAAATTTCCCTTTTACCCTTTTAAATGCTGTTAACCACCTACACACATATACATACCACAAAATCTCATGAAAGAAAAAGGTAAACAATGAGAAAGGGAAGCAAATACATTTAAATACTATAAAAAAAAACAGGCGGGACCTTTTGTTGCAATTTTATAAAGTTTTAGAGAAAATGTACTCAATGCCAAATAAGAAAGCTAACACAAAATTTCAAAACAATATATTAAATATAAAAAAATGTGAAATTAGAAAAAATTATGTAACTTAAAGTACGCATTATGTTACATGCATATGTACATACACATACAAACATGCGTGTGTAACTTAAAAAAAAATAAATAAATTTATGACAACATATTTATATGTAAATGTGTGCTTAATAGTTGCTATTAAAAAGAAAAACTTTAAAATTGCATTGAAAAAATATACATACAAATATATTGTATTCAAAAATTTGTATTTTTTATTTTCTATACCAAATGAATTATGGTTATGTCCATAGTGAATTGATGATAATAAGTTATACCAGACACGCTTTCATTTGATTTTTTTCGTAAGAATAAAAAGAATTCGAAATAATTTTTCTCACGTGCGCAGAGGCGTAAGAGTAGTTATAAGTATTAAAAAAAATAAAATGTGAAAAATTAATACAAATCAAAAATATAAAAAATTAAAGATATCCAAAATAAAATCACCTTTTAACCCAACTTTTTGCATGTATTTATTGACATTTTCCTTGCATTACTTATGTACACTATTCATTTTCCTATTCGCATCTTTACTTTTTTTAAGTAAATTAGAAATCCAAAAGTTCACAAAATTAAAAAAAAAATTAAATAAATTTGTGTGCAATGAATATATAAATTAACCTAAAATCAGCGATGCTTAACTGACGAAACGTCGACATTTCATTTTATTAATATGAAAACTCAATTTTATGAAATTATTTTATTTCGTTTCACCTTCATATTATCGAAACGAAATGAAACTGATAATGTTAGTTTTAAAATACCTACGTGCACTTCAATTTTAACATTTAACATTGTCTGTTAACGATTTGACATTATCTGTTAACGACTTAACGTAAACGGCAACATTTCGTTTCTGGTAAAAATTATATCACTTATATTTCAAACGAATCGTTTGATTTCTTTGATTTTAAATGTATCGTTACGATGCACCTAAAAGAAATATTACAAATGGCTCTATGCTGTCTGGTACAACTTATTATTGAAACAAATTGGTGTTGAAAATGAAAAAAAATAAATAAAAAGTATACAATTGAGTGGAGGAAAATTATTAAAAATCAGCATATGAGAAAAAGCTAAATGGGGTTTAAAAACTACTTAAAGTTTTGTGATTTGGTATAAAGTAGAGCGACAGGTCTGCAGCAATATGAGCAGCTCCACACTCGCTCGCTCAAATGTTTGTATGAAACTATCCAATTTACAACCTTATTTGTCAAAATTTCTTTACCATTTCAATGGTTTTTGCATTTTGCAAAAGAGAATTTAAATTTATAGGAAGAAAGTGCTGAGAAAAGAGACAAATTTTTTACTCAAAATGCATAAAGTGCTCGAAGTGTTCGAACAAAATCTTGAGCACTAATAGAAAGCTTCTTTGGTTCTAAAATATAAAATTAAATTTTTAAATTGTTAAATTTCAAATATTGTATTTGAATATATTTATGTTGTTTCCTTCAAACTTTTTATATTTTTTTTTTGCCTTTGCCAATAAAAATTCCACTAGCTTTGCAAACAGATATATAGTAAAGGCTTTGTTTAAAAAGCTTTCCATTTCAATGTTGTAGAAGTTTGCGAAAAAATTAAGAGAAGATGGAACAATTAAAATCGGCAAATGACCATGTGCGCATAATGATGACAGTTGTCCAATTTTTAATGCAACCACGCGTTGCTTAGATGGGAAACTGCAAGGCAAACGTCACGCAACGTAGCGCGAAAGCTCTAAAGCCAAATTTGTCAGCAATGTAAAAAATGTCGATGCTTTGACAAAATGAACATTTAACTTTTCAATTATTTTTCTATGAAAATCTCATACAGTTAACTTTTTTCAAGTTTCTTTGAAATTTGCATTTGAATTAAGAACTATGTAACAAACTTCAAATTCAAACTATCACACAGCGCAGCGTGAAAGCTCTAACAGCTAATACTTTAAGGTGGAATTTGTAGCTGAAGCTTTTGGGAAACGTCAGAAATGCCTAAAAGTGATTGTTCGCAACTTAATTTCACCTGGTTATCTCAATGTTTTCTAAAATCTCAAAATCAATATATCAGTATTTTAATTATGATTTTAATTTATTTTATGAATTTAGAAGCGGCAAAATCTCTAACAAAAATACTAAATTAATTAGTTGCATTTTTCTTTTGTTTTAATAAAAAAAAGCTGAATTATAATTTATATAAACTGCACTCATTTCTTAAACATGTATTGAAATATGCATTAAATTCCATAAAACAAGCATAAAATAGCTATTTGTCAATTAATATTGTATATTGCCAATTAAAACAACCCTGAATACTAGCCGTAAGAATGATTAGCTTTGCGTACTGACATTTGGCTGGTCAGTGTTTTTGTCCTTGTTCGACCGACATCTAAAAGAATAGCAAATTTACTTGTCTAATTTTGGTCGGCCCACGACAGGGACTGTCAAGCCTTGCGAGTGTTTCGCTGACATGAATTAAAAGCTCCTCATAAAGAACCATCGCCCGTACGGAGGCGGCTTAGTATAAATTGGTCTTTTCTTTTCTTTTTTTTGGAAAATTGGAGGAGGAGCTTGGCCGAAAATGAAACTAAAATTATATGCTATATATACATATATATATACGTGTATATATATGAATATCAGTGCCAAAAAAAAATATTAAACAATTTTAGTAAATGTAAATGATGTGTCAATTATGGAAAATATAAATTGAATTTTGGCTTCATTTGCAAAAAATGCCAATAGGAATTTTCAATTAATACATAAAATGTCGAACAGTATAAGCAAAAATATTAGCAAAAATTAACCAAGCAATTGTAGTTTAAAATTTTAAAGCTCCCTACATTATTATGAGTTTATGTGGCTTGTAAAAATATAGCAAATAAATCGCCAAAATTGATATGTGTAATTTAAATGGCATTTAAGTAAGACGTAATATCTGTATGTGCGCATGCATAACAAGTGCAAATATTGCAAAAATCAAAATGTTAACTAAAACGTAGCCAATTAATTAAGCTAATTAATTTTATAGCAGCAGAAATTGATTTTTTTTTTTGGTAAAATTTGTATAAATTAATTTTTCCAGTAACAATCTTGTCAAAGTTAGTAATAAACTTTAGTATCTGAGTACCTAAATGTGTGTATATATATATTGGAAAAGAAACTTCTGCTCAGCATAACTTAAATATAAATAAATAAAAAAAATGTTTTTTTTTAAAAGCTAAGAACTTTTTTAAGTATGTTATAAATGTTTGTTATAGCGTAAATAAGTATGTATTTTATAGCCAAAAAAAGGAAAAAAAAAACAAATGAACTAAAACCATGTTATGCAGTCAATTCGGTCACAAATATATTTAAGAATTTAAACAGTAAAAAAGCGCTCATTACATTTTTGCATTTTCAAGAGAAAAAAAATATATTTTATTAAACATCATTTTTTAAATAACTTTTCATTTATTTATTACCACTACAATGTACTTAAATCTTGTCTACATATATACACACTGAGAAGTAGAAATCTTGCGAGTTGTCAAGTATCTACTAAGAACAGTTGTAATATATTTTTTAATGTAAAAAAAAAATAATTTTTTTTATACTAAAATTAAAATAAAAGTAAACATGAATATTGTCATTTCTATTGTGCAATTACATACACACATTTTATTAAATACTATCTCAAAATATGTAATAGACACCAACAACACTTGTGTGTAAATTAAAATAAAAACAATTTAAATTAAATATGTATGCGTAAAGCGTTTAATATAAATATGTATTTGTCATGTACTTATTATAGCAATAAGCAATATGTTTGTGTTTGTATACATAAGTTTTTCATATGAATATTTTTTTATACAAATTTCTTATAAAATACACATATCTTCTAAATATATATATATATATTATAACTATTACTGTAAAGTTCTCAAAAAAATAAAAATAAAAAATAAAAACAAAAACAAAATCTGTAACTTGTGTCAAATTAGTGAATAAAAAGTGAATAATATATGTATCATATTAGTAGTTATATAAAAAAAAACAACAAAAAAAACTTAAATAAAATTAATGAATTTAGTTATTTGTTTGTCTGATGTAAATTTGTCTCAATAAGGCCAAAACTACTGTGAAATAAATAATATAGTGAATTAAATAAATAAATAAAATGTTGGAAAATGAGATTTAGTCTTTTTCATACACTTTCTTACGTGCGATATCAAACAATAGAAGATAGAAGCTTATTGGCGCTGTTGTTGTTGTTATGGCTGTGCAAGTGATCCGCTGGCGACGACATCAGACGGGCGTTGTTTTGGCAGGCTTGTAATTTCGCTTTCGAACAAAAGTTATCAATATCCTGGCCAGAAGCCAATATCGAACAATCACCAGCATATGAGATCAGTGAAACCCCTTAAAGTGGAGAGGATGAAAAGCTCATTTTCGAGTTTCGTTGATTGTTGGTGTACTGAGCTTTCTCAAAACTTTGACTAAAAGATCCCAACTATGTCAAGGAGGGGTCCCAATTGATACCTTACATGCACATGAAATCGTATATTAACTTTGGCCCGAAATATGTCAGTACTAAAATGAGAAGAGATCGACCTATTGAAATGTAAACCGATTTCATTTAGCCAAGTCCACCTTTTTTTTGCAATACTTAAACCAAACTTGATGTACAACTGTGGTCATTTGTAGTAATCAGCCAGATCGGACTAGTTGTGCATATATGTGGTTGATTTTCCAATTAAAATTTCGGGTCATGCATTTTTTCTGATATCAACCTTTGGTCAAAGCTTCGACAAAAAAGCTTCTAAAATTATTACACATTCGCGATTATAATTTAACGGTATCACTGGAAATAATAAAAATCGACGTACCAATTTCTGAGATATAAGGAATAATATTTTATCCTAATCGAAATATCAAAAATTTGGTATGGCCATGAAAGGTATAAAGACTTCAGCACTTCGTCGATTTTCTTTTTCAAATTTCCTGAATGTAGTGGAGGTGTCCTTCTCCTTTTTTCGGCCATTTAGATTTCATAGTTCTCAGTATTCGCCGGGACCTATATGAATAGGACCATGAATCTTTCGCAAGGCTTTTCTTTGGAAAACTCCTAAAGCTGACTTTCTCGCATATTGTCAATACCCATGATGCTGCGTCAAAATGTAAGGCGTGAGTGCTGAGCAACTAGTAAAAATTGATCTTAAATTGTTAAGAAAGGATTTAACTTTTCAATTGCTTTGTTGGTTGGTAGAAAGAGGGAGGTGGTGACCATAAGCAGCCACACTTAAGTCATTAAGCCTCCTTCTTCGGTGGCTACTCTGTTGCCGAGTCCACTTTGCTTACAGCTTAAGGAGATGATATCTCAGAGTTAAATCCATAACTTAGCATTCTCTTTTGCTTAATGCAAGTAACAGTTTGGTCTATCTACTATACACACTGTCCCACCATATTTTAGTGGTAAATCCCACGTTGGAAGAGTTCCAAGATCTTAAATGTTCCACTGTTGCAAGCAACGTTTGAAGGTAAAAGATCTGAGGCAGTTAACTGTGACAGCCTTGCTGGCCCTAGCCAGCTCGTCTGCCTTATCATTGCCTTCTACATCCCACATAATTGTCGAAGTTTCTAGAGCCACTCTATTAATAAAGAGATTGCCTGCTTGAAACAACAAAGCGGAAGGCCGGCCGAGCTACTCAAATAAGGCGAACTGACATCATCTTATTAGCAAATTACGGTCAGGTGGCAGAATGACCGAAGATAGGAAGACAAGTTTGCTCTGCTAAATCCGCATTAAAACCAATTACTTATTATTTACTTTTAACTGGCTTCAAACCTTGTTAATCCACTATTTATCAGATATTCATAATCCACCAAATTTTGGAAAAGACTTTTTGAGGGAAAGGTTTTGCTTAAAAGTATGGTCTTCTACGCATTCAGAATAGCGAGTACTACAGCCGATGGAACGATGAGCAGTACAAGATATATGGCCATGGCGACAAAGTAGCACCCTCCGGTAGCACCAGAGGAAGTGGAAGACCTCCATACCATGGGAAAGACCAGGTGGAGGACCAAGCGTTAAAAAAAACGATAAAAGATGTGTTCCATGTACAGTTTCCTTGAAAGTGGAATTTTTCACCTCGAAACATATTGTAGTTTCAAATTTAGGGTTCCGCGAGCAAAAATATCGATGCACCCTACTCTCAAGCTTTAAAACTTCTTTGAATATTTTAATGTATCCAGCTACAGTGTACATCGGGTCACAGTTTTTTGGTCATTCTTCTCAAACGGGTATCAGTAGAAGTGACTGTGCAGCTTAGTAGTAATTCATCATCATGAAAAATAAAAACGAGTTGAAAATGAGAGCAGCGTGAGCATACCCGATCAATCAACCAACATTTCGGAAAGGTCACTTTCACAGTTAAACAACCTTTTAGCTATTTACTCATTATTGTATTTGCTTACATTACAACTAACATTTAGACATATTACATATCAACGCAGATACATTCGCAGCATGCTCAGGCCAATAACCTTCGGCAATTTGTCAACAGACTTTCGATTTCGTAGGCAGTTTAGCCTACATTTCTAACTGTGTGTGTGTGTGTGTGTGTGAACACATTCGTATATGTATAATTTCTTTATTAAACGCTCATTAAGTGACAACAATTAACACCTTTGCAATTAAAAAATGATTTCACCACACTCTCAAGTTGTTCTCGTTTTAATTGTGGACGCTTTTGGCTTTTGATTTAATGAAATGAAATAGATTCTCTCGCCACACGCTTTTTCACTAAACTTTAATGAAGCAGCCAATTAAGGAGTGCAAATAAATGTAAGCAGTGAATGAGCAAACAAACGAATGAATATGAGAATGAGCGTGTAAATGGCAAACAAAGCTTTTACTACTCACCGCTCTAACGCAAGCCAGGCTTATAAAATCGTATAGAAAAACACATTTGTATAGCAATACAAACGTACTTGCATACATACGTGTATATAAGTGAGTGTGTATATTAAATATTGTTTGCATTCATAGTACGAAAGTATGTACGTATGTATTGTTGTATGGAAAAATATTTGTGCTTTAGATTGGGTTAAAATCACAACCTACCTCAAACGAAAAACTTTTGCATAAGGTAAGCTTCATTGCCGGAATAACATCGAAAAAAAAAATATATTTTTACTAGGATGGTCAACAATATTTTATACCCAGTGCTTAACTTTTTGAACTTGTATTTCTAAGTTTGTCAGAAAGATTGGTCACCCGATACTGCGATCGATTTCTAAAAAAAACTTATACAGCAAAGATTGGCGCTAAGTCTGCGACAATAAATACAGTTTCGTGATTTACCGACTAGAAATGAACTATACTTATAAGTATCAGCATCTTATTCTTGGCTACCGCCGTCGCCGAGGGGTTAGCATTGCGTACTGCCATTCGGAAGGCTCTGTCGACTCAATTTTCGAACAAATTTTTGACTGCTTGGCTCTCAAGGGCAACTTAATTTTCATTTTTCAATTCATGCATCGTCTCTGGATAGTTGGTAGTTGAACGGAGTCATTTTGCGGCTTCGAGGCGGCTAATTGATAACGCAGTTTCCCTAATTATGCGATTACAAAGTTAATTGTTCGGCACCCAGCACCAACATTTTAAAATCACACATCGTACATAACATTTCTTTCAACATTTCGAAACAAATCATCTCTAATCATGGTACGGTAATGATCAGCTTTGACGATAACGGTGTTTTCTTACTCATTTCCGAAGAAAATCGTTCCACATGTCGCACCAAATACTTACTCGTTTAGGATGCATTGGCTTTTTTATGGCTACAAGCGGTATTTCTAAGCCTGTAATATGGCACCTTCGACCCCAGGTGCGTAACTGCAATAATTTCGAAGTAAGCCTAAAACGCGTGAGATCAGTCATGTAAGTTTTTTTTTTTCAAAACGGCGTTCTCGAAATTTAATGTTATTGTAACTCAAAACCTAATCGAATTTAAAGTTTTTTTTTTTATCTAATTCAGCATTGTTTCAGGCACAAAGTGACCCTCGGTTATTTTGATCGGATTAAAATTGAAAATTTGGTATGGAATGTATCGTCAAATTTTGAAGCGATATTTTTACTTCATTTTCAAAAATTTAAATTTTTTTTTGGCATTTATTCTTTTTCACCTCAATTGTGGTTCACTTCATAGTTCATCTTCAACGCCTTTTTTTTGGATTTTTTTTTATTTTAGGCACCCTGAAGGCAGTTAGAGTGACAACAAAATGGAGACTTATATTTTTAGACTCTATTTTTACTCGCTGGATAGCGAGTATCTCGTCGAGTTCTCAAGGTTTCAAAGATACCTTATTTATAGCCAAATATACCTTTATAGTCTAAAACATTCAATGGCAGGTTTTTTTTTTTTAAAGTTCCCAAAAATCACCTTTTTTACTCGCTGCGTTTCCTAATTCTAGCCGCAAAGCTGAAAATGAATTTTATAGGAAAATATAATTTGTCGGTAAAAAAAAAGACGTTTATCTTCAGCCAAGCTATCCTCAGAAGCCGCATCGTTTGCTCATGAAGTCTAAATCGGACTTTATAAGCCTTCATAGTCGGGACATAAGCAAAATTCTATGCAGAGACGTACGCGAAATATTTGAACGGTGTCAAGTTGATATTAACTATTTTTCCAGCACACTTTGGACTACCAGTACATCAGCTATATCTCACGTACGAGATAACGAACCAATTTGGCGAACTCGCTTCACATATTGACGCGCAAGCGTTATTTTCCGCTATTTACGGTTGAAGACTCAGCACTTTGTTAGTAAGTTTTCATATTTCTTAGTTTATCATAAACCATCAAGCAATCATTCCATAAAAGAGAATTGATTTTAACTCTGGCATGTAAATCCAATGACAAATTTTCGGAATTATGCCCCGCAGATTTCGAATAATTGTTTGCATTTGCATTACGAACGTTTGATTATTTAAGATTTATCTAAGCTTTTAGGCAATCATAATAATTCTTTTATGATTAGATCGACGACTGGCAGTTCGGTTGCACCGATTTTAACTGTTCCTTATCTGTTTCGTAACGCACTTTAAAAACAATCAGTCCGTAATTAGACTTTTTCAGCTAATCTTCTGTTGGCTGGATCAATGAACCTATACGAATTATGATTTCTCGTTAATGATTTGTAGTAATTTTACAAAGTATGTATTTGTACAGAAATAAAAAAAACCTAAACTTTTGCTTTCAACATTTTCATCTCTCATCATGATTTCTGATAACTGGCAACAATTAACAAAAAAAAGCACAAAAAGCTTTAATGATCACTGTTATTAACAGCATTTTTTTAAATTTAACGGATATAGATGTAATCGAAAAAAATGCTGTTAAAGCAGAGATTATCAATGGACGCTACAAATCGCTGCTGTTAATCACCACTGAGGCCGACTGTAACATTAAATTAACATTCTCTGTTATTCAGTAACAGTACACTGTTAATGCTACTAGGGAAGTACATACTGTTAAATAGCGTTGCTGCTTTGGTTGATTAAGTTGTAGTATAATATCAGCACATTTGATAAAATGTAATTAGACCGCTACAGTCTGAAACACGGTAAACAACGGTGTAATAAAAAGGCGGTAAAAGAAATTTTGAAAAAATTTGTATAAATATGTGAAGTGCGTAATTAAACCATTTTAAAATTTTAATGATTATTTCTTTATGAAAATCCAAACCAGTTGCTTAACGTGGCGTAAAATATTGCGAAGGCATAAAATAAAATTATCAAAGAAAGAAAATACAAAAACAAAGAAATTTTGAAATTCTACTTTCAAAAATTAAATAAGATGAGTGGAGTATTACGTCGCGGTTCCTTAAATTTCGATTGCAATTTGAAAGGCAGCAATACGCGCGGCAACATCGATACAAATTTATATGGCGGTTATCGTGACCCGAAGCCGCGTACGCCGGAAATTAGTGTGATCGCTTTGGATTTTCGGCGTTATTCGGAAGATTTAAAAAAGGATACACTAAAAACGCTCGAAACTAATTGCTTACCCTCAACGGAAGGCGATTTAAGTCAAGATGAAGATTCGGATGTGATTTCGAATTTTATTGGTCATCATGGTAAATGGCAGTTAATTTGGACATTTCTGCTGACACTCTTTCAAATACCACCAACATTTCATTTATTCGTCTACACATTTCAGGTAAGCCAAAACAAAATATATATGTAAGTACATAAAGACATTTGTGTGTAATCTGAAGCTTAGATGTTTAGATGTTGCAAAAGCAAACGTGACTTGTAAGGAATCCAATAAAATCTATATAAACATGTGTATGAAAATATGTAAGTATGTTCCAACGGCATTTGAGTTTCCGTTTGATATTTGAAAAGGTGGTGAATTAATTAGAATATTTTTTTATTTGAGCAACACAAATTAATGAAAACTAATATCGACAGTTAATTCTGGCAGCGCAAACTTGTTTGTTACAGTTAGAACAGAATTGTTGCTTTCAAATTTTCACTAGCAAAAATTTTACAATTTTTATGTAAAATATTCGTTCCTATTCGGCCGCGGTAGCCGAGTGATTAGCGCCATTCGGAAGGCTCGGACTCAAATCGCCGTGCGACCAACATCCAAAAGTTATAGAAAATTAATTTAAATAAAAAATTAAGAAAAATGTTCAAATTGCGGTCGCCCCTCGGCAGAGAATATCAACCCATCCGAGTGCATTTGGGACATGAAATAAAAACTCCTCGTAAAAAAAAAACCATCAGCCGTTCGGCGGCGGCTGCTTATAAACTGTAGGTGCCTCCATTTGTTGCAAAAACATTAAGATGCAAAAAACACAAATTGGAGGAGGTGCTCGACGGAAAATCGCTTCAGCGGTTACAAAGCGCCAATTATACATATATATTATTTTTGTTTCTTTTACTCTGGGGTATCATATTATAAATTATTCAGAGGTGTTATAGAAACCGACACAGAATTGCTTATTTATCGGAATTGAAAATCAATATCTGTTTGAAATGCTGTTATGAAATCGACTTGATTTTTTTTTCCGAAGATAAGCAAAACCGGTATCCGAATCAGCTATCATCACACTTGTGCAAAAAACGCAGCAATTCAACTTAATTTTTGTACTGTTATTAACACATTTGTGATAATTAGAAATAAAATGACTTCGGCAGTGATAGCATTTTTGATGATGGAAGGATTTGTAAAAATGATCCACCAAAAAAAACGCAAAATTGTAAGGGATAAGTGCAATCCGCTGGAGCAGCAAGAGTCGATGTTAGTGTAATTTACTATCTACTTTTACATTTCTGATAGAAAATTTGTTTATATGCAAATTCATAGGCCAATAAAGTCTTAACAAAGAAGCCTTTGTAATCTAGCTGCATGTCATTGAAGACCTGTTAGTTAGGCTGTCTATCTCACATGTGCTTAATGTGCATTTGGCAGAAGGCTCCTGTTAACTGTCTGTGGAACTCAAATATCTTCTTAGCGCGACCTACAGTCGCTGTGGTTATAACATAAATGCTAAAGGCTTTTGAACGTATTCCATGCTTTGCTGGTTGTCCATGACTAACATTTTTATTATATTTTCGCTTGCAAGGAAATTTGCACACAATTCTGATCGGTTTAATTCTGGCATTTAAGCCGATAGATCGGTTTCTGCAACACCTAAAATCGACACAAATTCGGTTTCGAAACTGAAACCGATATGCAAATCAATAATCAGTATATGTAACCCCTTCAACAGAATTTTGTCGGTTTCAATTCTGATTCCGACAACAATCTGTATCTGTAACACCCCTGATTCATTTCAAGTTTTAGATGTCGACCTCTTTATTGTTTCTAAAAAATCAAGAAAAACTGGGCTCCCTTAGCTTCATTATTTCAATATTTTATATCACATTTGCAGCTAGAAAAATATTTAAAAATTCGACTGCATAAATCCTCAAAAAAAAATTTATTTATTAAAAAAACTGGTCTTCCTCAGCTCTATTATATTAATATTTCATTTGATATTTGCAGCTAGAAAAATATTTAAAAATTCGACTGCATAAATCTTCAAAAAAAAATTTATATCTAAAAAAAAATATCTTAAAAAAAACTGGTTTTACTCAGCTTTGTTATATTAATATTTCATTTGATATTTGCATCTAAAAAAATATTTAAAAATACGACTGCACATATCTTCAAAAAAAAATTATTTAAATTCGATTTATTTATGGCCTGACTAACATTCAAAATTATATAAAAATAATTAAAATAAAAAAATTAAGTTAATTCCTCTAGCTGTGGTCGTCGCCTCGGCAGTTCTCAAATGTATACCAGCTGAGAGTCTCAATTTTCGTTTATCTTTTTGCAATAATTGGGGATAACAAGACGAATATTCTTTTGATCTTGGAGGCCACACCACAGATATGACATGTAGCGCCGTCTTTTTGGAACCGAAGGTCGTCCACATCTAAATGCTCCAACTCAAATGCAAAGAAGTTATAAAATCCCCATTCCCCCGTTCCCCATTCACTTTAATTGAATTAGAAATGAAATTTCGCTTTATTTATTAGAAATGTGTGTCCATTTTTATACTCGCCTCTCAAGCAATAGCTAAATGTGGAATTAAAGACATATATTTTAGGCATGAACGCATTGAATGGACAAATATCAGAGGTGGTAAGCCAATTTCCATTGGACGGTGGTGCCTTTCGGACAAAGGATATATCTCAGAAACCACTGAAAAGCTTAATAGTGAATATTTTGCGCATATAACAGACTTTTTACCCTCGTCCTCGCTCGACAATCTTGGTGGGCATTCTACCTTAAATGAGGATTAAAGTCCATCAAATGCCGAGACAAGAGAAATTTCTGCTCGGTTCACCTTAAATCGACAGATTCAAGTCAGATTTTGTACACTTATCAAGAACAATAATTTGAGAAACCTATCTCCCTATTTTCATCAGTGAATGAATGAAACAGATAGTATTCACTTACTGCGAGGTTCGGATGAATGGTGGTGCATAAGAGCTGTCCAAATAAGTCTTCTGAGCTTCTGGAAAGTCACTATTGATGAATGTGGCTTGGCGTTCTTCTGTTGTAACAAAATTGCCCTGCTGTTGCCACAAGCTGGTTGCTTCCGAGTGAGACGGTCGGTCCTTGAGGCGGTCGCATTGAAGGTCCGACCTTTGAGTTTGGTCTTAAAGGACCAGCTCATGGTGGATGATTCTTTGCCAACGACAACAAACACACAATAAAACCAGGCTGGGAGCCACCCTCCACTTAAAAAAATGGCAGATGGAAACTCAGTCCATGAGTATAAAATAATATAATTTGTGTTTCCAGCCTCTTTACAGTCGTTCGAGACTATTTTTTGTACAATGAAAAACAATTGAAACAAGGTTCACATGACGGGCAGACTAGACGATTTCAAGTATTTTATTAATATTTTCGACAATTCGCCTTTCAAAAGGTATACCGTGGAGCGTCTTTTTCATCAAGATCAAGACAAAATTGACGAAATGGACTGTTACAGCCTTCGGGCCACAAACACTACGAGTATTTACATTTTCAGCTGCCTGACTCCCTCTCCCAAATCGAAGTTTGATTTTCCGTTACCCTTTACGAATTGTAAAAATGAAGTCGTGTATGAAAGGAAAAAATATATATAATTTAAGAAACTTTAAAACGCACTTTTACAAAACATCAAACAAAAAAAAATACTTGTATTATACTGAGGAAAGCGTCTGTCAAGAAGAAAAACTAACTCAATTTTCAATTCTTTCAATACTTTCAAAGAAATGCAAGATCCCTCGCTTTGTAGAAGAAGAATTAAAGCGCATACCATAAATGAAAACATTTCCCAATTTCAGTTCCATAATTTGTAAGAAAAAAAGTATTTCCTTTTAAAATACCCATTTCTTAAGAAAATACTAATAAAGGAAATAAAAAATATACTTAACAGTATTTGACTACTCATCTTTTAAGCCTCTGATGTTGAAAAATCGTGAGCTATGGTTCCGTGCATGACAAAGAGTTAACATTCCTGATATACGTACGAGTATGTATACACATACATATGCACAGTTAACCGACATGAAATATTTATTTTCAAACACTGATTAGCAAACGATTCAATCAGATGTGATGCCTCCTGGAATTACGTAACTGGTAATTTGCTTGTGGCTAAAAGAGAATGCCGGTTGGGGTTTCCAAAATTACTATTTAATAGCTAGTCTGAAGAAGACTTAAGAATTTGTGAAGCATTTAATCGAATTTAATGTCACAAGGACGTCTCATTTTTATTACAGTCAAACTCTTTACTACTATACCAGAGACTTATCAATGAACTAATTGCAGAAGATTGATAAGATAATATCGAGGGGTAAATACTAAATTTTTTTCCAACAACGTGCTTCACATGCTCACAAATATTTAAAAGTCATTTAGTTTTTACTCTTAGTATTCAAAAGTTATTTTCATATTTTACCACCGTTATTTACGTAAGCTTTGATTTTGCTAACAATTGGCAGAAAATACATACATCTAACTTACATATCTTACTACTGAATTCGATTCAATTTACCGTTGCATGAACGTCTCAGTATATAATTAACTGGTTAAAATATCTGTTGTACACGATTCTAAATAGGCAATATATTATATAATATAACAAATTAATGGCAGGCACAATTGATTAGTAATCGTGTATCTGAACGATATGATACAATTAATAATATATCTCTAACAAAATCTTTTATATTTTCTGAGAAGACGTGTAATTAATATATGCTACGTTTTAAGTTTTATAAAGCAAAATGTCATGATACACAATATATGATGGACGATATACGTGTATATATACTTATTTATATCAATGAAATGAAAGATTTCAGTGATAATAACGGTAATAATTGTTAGCAATTAAAGCTAAATTCCTTGGGTGTTAATACGTTATTTGCTTGTGAGTAATCGTCTGCACTGTTAAATAATTTCAACAAATGTTTATATTTCAACTTGTTTTCCATTTCCCTTTTATTTTTCATTTAGTATTTGTAATATATTTTATTTACATTATAAAACTTAATTTTATTTTAATTTAATTTTTTCAATTTTATTTGATGTATTTTTATTTCATTTAAATTTAATTTGGTTTGCATTATTTTATTTCAAGTTTTATATTTATTTATTTTACATTA